AAAAAAAAAAAGGAAAAGAAAGAAAGTTTACCATACATAAACGACGGAAGGAGGGAATATGAAGGTTCAGATGTACCAGGGACGTCTTGCGGCAAGCGTCGATGCTTCACCCGATTTCCATGGTTTTGAAACCAACAATAGACGCTATATTCTCCAACTTCTCCGTACTCCTTGAGTCGTTCTGTAATCTCGCGAATTTGATCTCGACTAGGATTAATGATCCCATGGTTGAAGATGTTCAACAAGATGTTAACTTGTTCCGGGGTGGACCGCCATCGTTTATAAACTGTCTTGGCTTTGATATCCATTTTTTTCTAAGTTTTTGTTCATAAAGTAAAGTAAAAGTAAAAAGATTTATTACGTTGAAGTCAAGTTTCCAATTTAAGTCAAGTTTTCCATTTTGCTTCTTCTCTTTTTAGTTTAATTTTCATTGTTCAGTCTTTGAAGTCTCAATGTCAGAAAATAGATCTGTTTCACGGTCCTCGCAATGGATCCTAACTAGATCTAAGTCCACAGAGTCCATATTTTTATTGTTGTTTAAGTAAAAGTTGTTTTGGTTCGTTTTAATTGGGGTACGTGGCGTTGTTCTACCCGAATGTCTCTTTCATACCTTCAAATGAAGGGAGATTAACAACGGTTTTCCAGCCTATATACCCCGTGCTTTAAGACAAAGTGTTCATTAATATGACAATATATATATATATATATATATATATATATATATATATATATATAACGATTTATAGGATTTTTAATAAAAATAGGACTTATAGGATTTATATATATAGTTATCATATAGTTAAATTAGACTTCTGTATCCTTGGGAGTTAATGTTTTGTAAATTATTTGTACACTGTAAAACTGGTTTTATGATTTTATTTTAATGTTTGTCCATTATTTATTCATTTACAAGTTATCTTATGGACTATGCAAGAGAGATATTTGGTGTAGGCAGTTTGAAAATTACATAGATATTTTCCTCATTCCACTAATTGAAGATTTGAAGTCGTTGTAGGTTGATGGGGTTGAATTATTTAATGTTGTTGCTTCTGAAACTTTTATTATATATGTAATGTTATTTTGCACCACTAATTACTTTTCAACTTACGGTGATTTGTCAAAGTATAGTGTCAAGGGTCATAAAACATTCAATCTAATCATCCTTATCAAAGGTTAAAAAAAGCATTCAATAGACATCAAGAGGATGATGATGCACAATTTCATTGACTAACTTTCAAGTTCATGAAAAAGTTAATAAAGTAAATCATGTATTTGGGAAAACATCCAAGAAGTCATCTACAATGAGTCCTTGGAAGAAAAAATTAATATTCTTTTTCTTTCATATTGGTCAAAGTTAGAGGTTAGACATTGTATAGATGTAATGCAAATAGAAAAGAATGTGTGTGATAACTTGATTGATATGCTACTTAACATTAAAGAAAAGACAAAACATGGATTAAATGCTCGTTTGGATTTGTTGAGATTCATACATTTGAGGGATGGAAGGTTAGTTTACTTGAAACCATTCATTTCTCCATTGATCATTGTGTACAGGTTGAACTTGTTCATAAAATAGATTTTATATATTACAGGAAAAGAGGATAAAAGCCTAAGAGATAAGTGCTCAAAATAAAAGCTAACTTATTGCCTCATGGTGGATGTAGAAAACTTGAAAAGAAGATGATGAAGGATAATTGTCCACAACCTCCTTTAGCACCATCTCATTATGAAAAATGAAAGTTAGCCCATCTACAATCCTTGGGCTCCTACACTTCTAACATCGCATGACAAATCTCTGAAATATAACTTTTCTTTAAATAAAAATAATATTTTATATAGATTACATGTTAAATTTATTTTATTATGTTGTAGGGCTTCTTGGTTGAGCAAAGCGCCCAAGGTACTTTCACTTTAAAAGGTTATCATGACATTCTTGCGAATGCAAATTGGACGGCCTGAGCACCTTGGACGCATGCATGTTGCTGGACTATCTCGTGTTGAGATTGGATGTAATTAATTTTAATTCTTTGTACTCCTACTTCTTGTATATTCATTTATGCTTTCATTCAAATGTTTGTGGTTTGATTTATGCTTATTTCCTAGATTAATTAAGGTTTAAACCCTCGAATCGTCCTCATATTTGTTGGGGAATCTCAAGTAGGTCCTCGTTTTTTCAACTGTCAAAGTTTGGTCCATATACTTATAAAATGTCTCAATTAGGTCCCAATATTTGAAAAATTAAGCCAATTAAGCCTTGTCCGTTAAGTTTTCACAAACGGCATTAAAATGTTATGACAATGAATATGCTAAGGTGGATATTTTATTACGTGGAAATAATTAAATTATGACATATAATTTAGTAAATTAAAAAAAAATAGAAGCAGCATTCAAAAAAACCCTAGCTTCATTCCTCCTCACCCAGAGAGCATTTCATCCTTTGTTAACCTCATCAGCCATAATCAACTTCTCTTTGCCAACCAACACCGTAAAAACCCCAAAATGGCGAACCCTAAATCATTCCTGTTATGTTAACCACTGCTGCTCTCTTTATCACTGTTTTGTTCAGCACCTTAAAAACACCAAAGTGGGTTTAGGATTTTGATGTACCAAAGAAATTAAGGATGAATTTGATGGGTGGAAGAAACGCCACGCAATGCAGAAACTTTGCATCTTCACTTTCAATATGCAGTATAAAAATGGGTGGAAGAAAACTGATTGGGATCAGTGAGAAATTGGAATCAGAGATCGATGGAAGAGAGAGAGAAAGCGTCAGGGCTCACGGTTGTTTGTCAATTGAGGATGCAAGACTTGTGTTTCTATTTCTGGCTCTCCTTGCAAGTTTCAAAGCAGGCTGAAGGAAGATGATGTTCGTGATGGAGGGTGCGAATCGCAACTGTGATGACGGCTTCCTGGGGTTCTTGCACTTAGATTCTATTTTGGATTCAGATTGCATTTGCATTTTCTGTATTTCCTTTTGCAAGTTGAAGATGCGACGAAGGCGATCGCGACGGTGTCGTGCTCGTGGTGGATGGCGGTCTTGCAACGGTGGCGGTTCGGCAATGGCGGCTAGGTTTCTGTCTAAAGGAAAATTATGGTTTTGGGAGGTAGGAGATGATGCTAACGTGTCAAGGGTGGTGATGTGGCAGGCTAAAGGGCGATGATTGGTTGGAGGAATAAAATTTTCCACGTCAAAAACTCTTAATTTTAAAAAGCATTCCACATAATAAAACACTCTTACATCAGCGTGCACCACGTCATCATATTTTAACGCTGATGAAAACTTAATGGACAGGGCTTAATTGGCTTAATTTTTCAAATATTTGGACCCAATTGAGACATTTTACAAGTATATGGACCTAATTTTGATAGTTGAAAAAACGAGGACCCTGTTGAGATTTCCCAACAAATATGAGGACTATCCGAGGGTTTAAACCATTAATTAATAACTCATTCACTAGTTTGGATTGAGTTGAAAAACTTATTTTAAATTGTGGTCCAATCAAATCATCTCATTCTTGTTAAAGACTTGTACATGCTATAAATGGTAGGTTAGATATATTGTCATATATTTTTCACTATGAAAAAAATAAAAAAATCATCAATATTTTTTATTCTTTTCCATCATCTCTCATTTACACAAATTATTCTTGTTGAAAAATTTGCGAACCTTTACCTAATTCTTTGAAGTTGTCTACAACAAAAATTCATATGAAATTCTCTACCTATCAGTCTAAATAGATTAAAGAACTTCTTCAAAAGATCAACAATNTTCTTTCATATTGGTCAAAGTTAGAGGTTAGACATTGTATAGATGTAATGCAAATAGAAAAGAATGTGTGTGATAACTTGATTGATATGCTACTTAACATTAAAGAAAAGACAAAACATGGATTAAATGCTCGTTTGGATTTGTTGAGATTCATACATTTGAGGGATGGAAGGTTAGTTTACTTGAAACCATTCATTTCTCCATTGATCATTGTGTACAGGTTGAACTTGTTCATAAAATAGATTTTATATATTACAGGAAAAGAGGATAAAAGCCTAAGAGATAAGTGCTCAAAATAAAAGCTAACTTATTGCCTCATGGTGGATGTAGAAAACTTGAAAAGAAGATGATGAAGGATAATTGTCCACAACCTCCTTTAGCACCATCTCATTATGAAAAATGAAAGTTAGCCCATCTACAATCCTTGGGCTCCTACACTTCTAACATCGCATGACAAATCTCTGAAATATAACTTTTCTTTAAATAAAAATAATATTTTATATAGATTACATGTTAAATTTATTTTATTATGTTGTAGGGCTTCTTGGTTGAGCAAAGCGCCCAAGGTACTTTCACTTTAAAAGGTTATCATGACATTCTTGCGAATGCAAATTGGACGGCCTGAGCACCTTGGACGCATGCATGTTGCTGGACTATCTCGTGTTGAGATTGGATGTAATTAATTTTAATTCTTTGTACTCCTACTTCTTGTATATTCATTTATGCTTTCATTCAAATGTTTGTGGTTTGATTTATGCTTATTTCCTAGATTAATTAAGGTTTAAACCCTCGAATCGTCCTCATATTTGTTGGGGAATCTCAAGTAGGTCCTCGTTTTTTCAACTGTCAAAGTTTGGTCCATATACTTATAAAATGTCTCAATTAGGTCCCAATATTTGAAAAATTAAGCCAATTAAGCCTTGTCCGTTAAGTTTTCACAAACGGCATTAAAATGTTATGACAATGAATATGCTAAGGTGGATATTTTATTACGTGGAAATAATTAAATTATGACATATAATTTAGTAAATTAAAAAAAAATAGAAGCAGCATTCAAAAAAACCCTAGCTTCATTCCTCCTCACCCAGAGAGCATTTCATCCTTTGTTAACCTCATCAGCCATAATCAACTTCTCTTTGCCAACCAACACCGTAAAAACCCCAAAATGGCGAACCCTAAATCATTCCTGTTATGTTAACCACTGCTGCTCTCTTTATCACTGTTTTGTTCAGCACCTTAAAAACACCAAAGTGGGTTTAGGATTTTGATGTACCAAAGAAATTAAGGATGAATTTGATGGGTGGAAGAAACGCCACGCAATGCAGAAACTTTGCATCTTCACTTTCAATATGCAGTATAAAAATGGGTGGAAGAAAACTGATTGGGATCAGTGAGAAATTGGAATCAGAGATCGATGGAAGAGAGAGAGAAAGCGTCAGGGCTCACGGTTGTTTGTCAATTGAGGATGCAAGACTTGTGTTTCTATTTCTGGCTCTCCTTGCAAGTTTCAAAGCAGGCTGAAGGAAGATGATGTTCGTG